ATTCATGCATGAGCCTCTATTCTGCCTCTTCTGTGTGTATCTACGACACATGCGCATGCGTACTGCAGTGGAACTCAAAGAATAACACCCACAGACACACGCAGACACACAGAGACACGCACAGGATGGAGGAGGAGACAGGAGCAGAGCGAGAAGATCAGCCAACTGTCCCTACCACAGCGTGGCCTTATCTTCAGAGATTATGAAACTTGTTGAATCCTCAGATTAAAAAATAAGTGTACAGATGTCTGCTTTGCAATAAAAAAAAAATGTTGTCAACATCCAGGACATCCAACACCAACCTGAGAACTCACATTCAGGTGAATCACTAATTTCCCTCCTGCAGTATGCAAGTAAAAATATCTAGCGTCAGTGTAAATCCCAACTCACTTTAGCCAAATGCTGTATGTAAATTAGTAAAACGAAAGCTACCCACCTACCAAAAAGCAGTGTGTGATGGAAAGGGACTAGCCAAGTGGCTAAGCAGAAGTGTTTAAAAAAAAAAAAAGAAAGCTTATGCAATTTTTATAATTGTAACATGAGAGATTTTCAAGGTTCTTGGCCATAGAGAGCTCATGTGGCCAAGATTAGCCATTTGTTTTACATAGCCAAACACTCATTAAAACAGTCAACTACAGTATATTTTTTTAAATAAAAATGTGAAAAATATATCAGCTTTAACTTTATTGGCACCTTTGATTTCCAGATAGTTCAATCTGATGTGTGCCACTAAGATACTCTAGTTAGAGAGCAGTAGTGAAACTTCAATATTGTATTTTCATGTCCTAGTTTACCTGACAGGATGTTTACATAAATCTGTTTTTAGGTTTTGCACAGATAAGATTTTTTAGGCATGGAGGAACAGCTCTCCCATGTATAAAAATAAATACATAAATAAATACATGTGCTCAATAAATAAATAAGTATTCAATTAATTACCCCCCAAAATACAATGAATAAATATGTAGGTAGAAATTAAATTATACGGTGAGACATAATTATATTTATCACTTAATTAGCTTCTTTATTTTTTCATCTTTTTTGTAAACAGTTTCATTTGTTACTTGAATCAACTGTTTAATTGGGGTCTGAAGAAGTTTTCTCTAAGGGAGACCCTAGAGAAATAAGATGCCTTTTGTAGGGTTTTGTTCTAAGTATTTTGAATTTTTCACAGTGCAAGTGTCTATTAATTCACAAATGTAGGTGATAATAACATGTTGCTTAACTAATAAAGTTTACTAATGTAGTAAGTCTGGAGAGCTATTGGATTTTACAGTCTATCTAAAAACACCAATATAATATATTAACATCACATACAATCAGAAACCATAAAATGGATATGTAAATTTTCTTTTACAGTATTTATTATTCCCCATTTGCTTTTAAAGTTGTGATTCTTATTATTTGATATAATGGATATATATATTTTCGAGTTTGGTGTCATCATAAAAGTGTTAGAATCTTATTTATTTGAATTAATCTGCCAACTAAACCTCAGTCTTTAAGTTCATTCATGGATATGAAATATGAAAACATTTCCAACATGTTTAAAAGTTGACACTTCGGTCCATTTTTTCAACATAGTGTAATGCGAGACCAGCGAATATAGTTTTTGTTGGGATCTGGAGGCTTGTCTACCTTTCTCCACCAGAGGGCGTCCTGAGATCTTCCTCCTGAGGGTGTGAGCTGACTTCTACACACCTGTTTCCCATCTGCTCATCATGAGGCCTTGTTAAGGAGGAGGAGGCTGACACTTCCCTGCCAGAGTGTTTGCCACTAATGGTACCAGCAAACCTGAGCCAGCTACTCTGATCTGTTTATCTGATTTTTGTGAACTAGTCTGACCCTGTGTTCTTCTACCTCTCAGATCCTGACTTATCTGGATATCTGTCAAATCCTGGAGAAAACAATCGCTGCCTGGAACCTGCCTGTCTGCCCTCCGCCTCCGCCTCAGCCTCTGCCCTCAGCCCTCAGCCTGCCGATCAGCCTCTGGACCCTCAAGGTTTCCCCCCCCTGCCGGTCAGAATACCCCCTGTTGGGTTTTAATCCAGAGAAATGTGAGTTTAAAAGATTAAAAGGAAATGATCAACACAGAGACAGGGTTTTGTGACGTCAGCCTTCTGCAGAAGCGGAGAGAAGCTGCTGGCTCGGAAAACCAGCACCTTCTCACACAGATCCCTTCATAGCCAAGCCTTTTATTAACAGTTTACAACATCAAACAGGCGGGCCTAAAACAGAAGACCCAGTAATGATTGTCGGGGAGGATGCAGGTAACAAGATAGTGTGAATTGACCAACTGGCTGGATGGAAGTCACACAACCGTGTGATTTTGCCTCATGACCTACTAGGGGTCATAAAAGTTTATGACCCTTCTGGTTGAATCACAGGATAGTTATCACTCTAACACCCCCTGAGCAGGTATTAACTCAAACCGCTGTTCAACTGCAAGCTTCCTGATCCACTCTAACCGATCTGTCCTCCTCTACTTGCTTCCTTCCCGTGACCAGCCTGACGAGCCAAGACCCCGTTCACATTTCACTGTAAAGTTTGTAAATAAACCATTTAACTTTTTCCCTGTCTCATGAGAGTGATTCTGCATGTGGTTTAGACAATTAGACCCCAACATGACAGTTTTAGGTAGACACGTGCTTTTTATTCAATTTAATTGAGTCAAATATAGAAAAATTGGATAAGGAGTGTAATTAATTGTTTCCATTTCCGTTTTTGTGCACAAAATCAGATAACAGTTCATCTGTTGTTTTCATTGTGGTCTTGGAAACAAATTCTGAGAAAACCAAAAGTTTTTGGAGTTTTATTTTTTTAATTTGATACACTGATTAAATCAGATTCAGAGTCAAACCGGTTGTGTGATACGTTTTTTTTTCTCATGTCACATTGACTGCGTATAGAGAGGCTCTGACCATGCAGGGTGAGCAGATCTCGATTTATGTAGTTTTTTTTTTTTTATTCTCTCTGTGCCACACAAATTTGAACACTGTCCCACATTTGACTGGGAAAGATTATAAACAGTAAAAAAATATATACATAGCTGCACCATGACCAGAATGCTGCACAGCATCAAGAAAAATACAGCAACAAAGCCTGGGGGACATTTTATAGGTACTGGAATAGGAAGTGAGAGGTGATTCTCACAGAGAGATCTGTGAAGTTCAAGTTTTTTTTTTTTTTCATAATAAGGGGAGTGAAACAGGCAGCGCTTACCTGCACTGTCTGCCCCTCATTCTTTTTTTTGTGAGGCTCAAAAAGGATTGCTATTTTGTATCTATTTTCTGTCCTCCTGAAGTTTTTTTTTTTTTTGTGGAGAGTGATAAGCTGTGCTTTCTACTGTCCCTGTGATTTTTGCAAGAAATTTCTTTAAAAAGTACTGTTTACTTTTACTTGATTAAAAATATGCTGAAGTAGTCCTACTCTTACTTAAGTGCAACTCTACCCACCTCTAATCAGAAACAAATAGACTTAAAAGATTCTTTCCCAAAGCTGCAAAGCCGATCATCTCTCTGCTGGCAGTAGCTAAATATCCTTCCTAAAAATCCACTACACTTCCAGACCATTTCAGCACAACCTGCACTTTTTTTAAATACTACATACTATAGTCCATGAATATCTGTGCTTGTGTTACATTTTAAATCTACTCTAAGGATTGTAATCTTTTTTTTTTTTTACTATATGTGTAAATAACATTTGATTATGTATTACATGTGTATTTAGAGCTGCTGTCTCAGGAAACTGTCATTCTGTGGACAGCCACTGAATTTGAACACAGCATATGTCCTCCAGCAGTCTAAACCTATCGCAAAATAACCATGGAGATAGATCAGGATAACCTGAACCACTCTATTAGCTTTATAATAAGGAATGTATTGAGCCTAGTCTTAAAAGTAGACAGGATGTCTGTCTCTCAGACTAAAACTGCTAGTTGGTTCCACAGGAGAGGAGCCTGATAAATAAAAGATCTGCCTCCCATTCTACATTTAGAAATTCTAGGAACCACTGCAGATTGAGAGAAGTGAGTGTTTGGGACACCAGAAACAATCAGATCTCTAATATCAGATGGAGCTTGGCTTTTTAGGGCTTTATAGGTGAGAAGGAGGATTTTGAATTCTATTCTTGTCATGATTCCTGGCATGAGTGCTGGTTTGATTCAGGATTCAACACACCTGTCAGCTCTGCCCTGTTTCCACTCAGCCTGCATCAGATTTCCCCTCTTACCTAACTGTATAACCAGCTGTCAGACCAGTGACTAGTGTCAGATTATGACGAGTATTCCTGTAAACCTGCCTGGCTGCCTGACCCCTATCGGACCTGTCTTAGTGTCTTTTGGATCTCTGACCTGTATTCTGAGTTCTAGTTGCTGATTGTGGTGAATCTCTCCCAACCAGCGCCAGTTTCATTCCAATAAACTGTTTAAACGTCTCTTGCTCCGGTTGAATCTGGGTCTTCCATTATCTACTCATTATAATTCTGGATTTAACAGGAAACCATTAAAAGGAAGCTAACAATGGAGGAATATGTACTCATTTTAAAGTTTTTTTTTATCAGAACTATAGCTGCAAAGGGAAGAAATGTAAAAATCTTTGAATGCAAGTGTTTTATTAAAGACGTGAAGCTTTGGTCTCAGATAAGGAGAAGTCAATTTCCAGATGATGTTGCACAGATTTCATTGGTCTGAAGCTTTTTCCACACCTCCTGCACATGTAGGTACTCTGGTGTGGATATGTAGATGGGTTTTCAGAGAAGATTTACGACCAAAGCTTTTCCCACACTGATGGCAAACAAAAGGCTTTTCGCCGGTGTGGATGGACAGATGGTGATTCAAATCTCCTTTCAGGTGGAATTGCTTCTCACATATTTGGCAGACGAAAGGCTTTTCGCTGGTGTGGATGGACAGATGGCTATTCAAACACCTTTCAGGCGGAATTGCTTCCCACACTGATGGCAGACGAAAGGCTTTTCGCTGGTGTGGATGGACAGATGGCTATTCAAACACCTTTCAGGCGGAATTGCTTCCCACACTGATGGCAGACGAAAGGCTTTTCGCCACTGTGGATGGACAGATGGCGATTCAAACCACCTTTCAGGCGGAATTGCTTCCCACACTGATGGCAGACGAAAGGCTTTTCGCCACTGTGGATGGACAGATGCGTATCCAAATGTCCACTCTGCCTGAATCGTTTCCCACACTCATAGCAGAGGAAAGGCTTCTCGCCGGTGTGGATAAGCAGGTGTATTTTCAGACCGTAAGAGCTCTTAAAACCCTTTCCACACTGGTCACAGCGATGTGATTTCTCAGAGACATTAAGCTGATCCAGGTCTCTGTTTTCCACATGCTGCTGACCTTCACAAAGTTGTTCATCCACATTACTGATCTCCATCTGTAAGAGAACAAAAACGAAAAATCCATCAATTCTTTGGCACCACTGAATATAGTGTAAACCCCTTTTGATGCCTAATGTGGACCAAAATTATGGTTCTTCATAAGAAAAGCTTAAACTCAGAATGACTTACTGGAGCTTGAGACATTGCTTGGATGTGTATGTCAATGTTTTCTCTTTCCTTTTTTGACTATCCTGCTTAGAAAAGAACAGTTTAGTTATTGATTACCTTTTACATGATAAAGTCAACACATTATCTTCAAATTATAACTGTACCTGGAAAAAAATCGAAATCTAGATAAGTCATTTTTTCTTAGAATAAGTGCAATTATTCTCGGATTGAGGAGGTAAAGGATACATTTTGCCAATGGAACAAGACAATTTACATTTAAAATAAGAAAACACTATTGCATTCTCTTATTTCAAGTGCATATTATCTAATTATCTTATTTTAAGAGTAAAAATACTCTTAAAATAAGATAAAAAATAGTTTGCCAATTACATTGGCAAACTATCTCATTTACCTTCTCAAATTAAGGATAGATACACTTAATTTTCGAAATTTTTGCTTATTTCTAGATCGTTTTTCCAGTGATACCACTACACAAGAAGCAGTCAAATAAGTTATTACACAAATAAACATATCATGAAAACCAACAGTTAGTTGCTATTTATAATAAATGTTTTTAATTAGTTTAATTTCCTCTACCTTGTGGTTCTCTAATTAAATCTTTATAGCATCAGTCTCAAAAGAGAGTTTTCTTACCTTTAATGCTGTGAAGTTGACTGCTTGCCTGCTATCTGTCTTTCTGCAAATCAATGATCTACACTTTTAAAAAATGCTTCTTTTTTTTTACTGTAACCAAGGGTTAAAAACATTCTGAAAAGTCCAGTATTTATTCAAAAGAAAATAAAATAGATAGCATTACGTCACCTCATACATTCTGGATATCTCGCCTCATGACAGCACGCTGCCATTCTCTGCTGGCCTAAAATCAATCAGAAACACTAACATACATTCTCAACCTACACTTAATTTTTTTTTCTTTCCAGCTTTATTAATTTATTCGAAACAATTGATTATATTTAATTTTGTAGCGTTTCTCTTGATTACTGAGCTGCTTTCATTACATTTATGTGGTCTCTGTATTTTTTGTCCAATCAGATTTCAGCCTTACTGCGTTGCTATGTCAATCAAATCTGCCCAGGTTCTTCAGAATCAGCAGTACTGGCTGATGTTACCTAACATATTAGTGAGAAACATTTTCTTCAACCAATCATATTTCAGATTTGGGGGCAGCTAGATGGCCCACACATTTGTCAGCATTTTCTGTCCTCTGATTGGTCAGTTAGAGCAAAAATATTTACAGCCAAGTTAATTTAACGACAATCTGCATTTTAGATCTCATTAAAAGTTCTTCTGGCCTCAACGGCTGATCCTTAATGGAGAAACTAAGACTTCCTGCACAAAGACAGGAAGAAGGATTTTGTTTGTAAATAATCAGCACCTCTTGTGAGTTTGATATGTATTTTATTTTCACGCTTAAGCTCCATTTTATCTGTTAATTAGATGCATATTGAATTTGAACGGCTCCTGAAGGTTTAAATGCTTCAGAGCTGCGGTTATAAGGTAGAGGATTGCAGTTCCCCCGAACTGGACTTCTTGCCTCAATGATCTTAGCATTCTCGCTCATACTAATCTTTGTCTCGGTTATACCTGTGCTTGTTGCATTTCATATTTGAATAGTAATGGCTGTTTCTTTTATTAAATTGTGAAAGTGGTGATATTAACCCCTTGACACCCATCATTGCAAATTGACATCCAAATGTATATACATATCAGCTGTGCGGCTGCCATTAACACCTCTGTTTATAGATGTTGGGATTGGCCTGCTTTTCAGTGTAGTCCTGTTTCTCTGACCGTGGCTGGCTGGATGTTCTCTCCTCATCCTCTGACATGGGAGCTGGCTCAGAGCTCGTCTTCCTGGCTGTTTGTTTCCTGGACGGGGCCACCTTTTACAGTTACCTTTAGTATCTCTGCTTCTGTTTCCTTGAACCCCAGTCGGCTGCGGCAGATGGCTGCTCACACTGAGCCTGGTTCTTCTGGAGGTTTCTTCCTGTTAAAAGGGAGTTTTCCTCTCTACTGTCGCTACAAGCATGCTTAGTGTGAGGAATTGCCTTCAATTCAGTGAGTCGATGCAATCAACTGATTTTCCTTAGATAGAAAACTTTGAATCAATTCGACTGTATGATCTGGTGAACTGTAAAGTGCCTTGAGATGATATGAGCTGTGAACCGGCGCTATATAAATAAACTGGATTGAATAATGAATTGAACAAATCAAGTCCCTAACTAGCAGACCCTTTGAGGAAAGAGATCTTATTTTAAATAAACCACATTTAATCGTTTTAACTTTTTCCCCAATTGGAATTATATTAATTTTAAATAGATGATCATGATTTACTCCTTATAGTGCTAGCCTAGGCTAGCTACTCCTTACTACCAGAAGTAAAACATTTTGAAAGTGACAAGTGCAAAGTAGAGAAGTGCTGCAGAAGGTGCTATTTTTTATGTGTTTCTGGACAATTAGTTTTACTTGATACAGAGATATCACAGAAAGAAATTAGTCAATCAATCAAGTTTATTTGTATAGCCCTTTACAATAGCCAAATGGTACCCAAAGTGCTTTACAACAAAGCCATAAAACAATACATAACACATACAAAACATACAGATACAATTAAAAGTGCTGTAGTGGTGCAGCGCTGCAGGACATTAAAAGCCTTTCAGAGGTGTATAGAAAGGAGCACACAGAAAGATGACATCTAAGAGACAGTATTATCCTAGTCAGAATTAAATGCTAATTTAAAAAAGTGGGTTTTAAGCTTTTTTTTTTTTTTAAAAGGCTGAGGTCAGTAGTGGTGCGGATGTCAGGGGGTAGTTTGTTCCATAGTCTGGGAGCAGCGACGGCAAAAGAACGACCCGAGGAGCGTAAAGCTCTGCCTCAATTGCGAAAAGTTAAAAAGAAAAAAAGAACTTAATTCAGACGGAGATAGACTGAACAGCAACAACACTGTTCAACAGGCCAAACAGGAAGTGAACACGATACGTCTCACCGACAGCAGCAGTAGCAGCCTCCCATTACATTCAAGTCAGTTCATCTGTTCAGCCTTTGTTTAGCTCATGCCCATCTTATCACTTAAATTGCCGTCCTTCCATGCCATTCCATGTCAGGTTTGAGACCTTAGTTTTTACATTTTCTTGTACTTTATTAAATACTTCAGCTAAACTTTCTGTCTTCATCTGCCTGTCTACATATGAGTCTATCCAAACTCAACATTTCCTTACACAATAACTATATTAAAACTTCCATAACCAAAGCCATCAATGTGTACTTAGCAATGAGAGTTGGCAAAAACAGTAAAGAAGGAGATCAGAAATATTTAGCACTTTTAATGCAGCTTCAAAACTATTTTGAAGACCTCATGACGGAATGAAAGAGGATATTATGAAACTAAGTCTGATTAGTTGGATTTGCAGACCCATAATTCCTTCCTTCCAAGTTCTCTAATAGATGTCCATCAGCATCCTGAAAATGAAAAGAATATGCCCGAAATCATTAAAAATGTTTTTGCTGGCAGAATCTGGCAATCACAAAATTTCATTTCAATCACAATAAAACAGAATTAGCATCAGTAAGTACACTAGCACCAGTAAGGTAAATAATGACTTTAACATGATAGGTAGCATTTTTAATTGGTTTACCTGACATGAGGCTAGGTTCTGAAGCTCATGGTTTCTGGTTTCTGTTGGTGCTGTAACATATACATGAAGGTAAGGAATTAATGTATGTGTATATATATATATATATATATATATATATATATATATATATATATATATATATATATATATATATATATATATATATATATATATATATATATATAATATGTGTGTGTGTGTTAAAATGTAAGTGTCTTTCTCTGTATGTACCTCTTTTTATGAAAAAATAAAGACATCCAGCACCAAGCACCACAAAAACCACGAAGAGACCGATTAAGATGTAATGATTCCTACCTGTTAATCAGAAAAAAATAAATGTAAAGTTTAAAATAAAGATATAAAGGTTAAAATATTTATCATGATGTAATACATTTAAAATGAGCTTAATGGAAAACAAAGAACTTGAAGCCCATTTCTAAAGAAGCTCATCAATCATGTGAAATTATTTAATATTTTAATGTTAGAGTACTTTAAAGAGTTAAAAATGCTGGTAATTAGAAATATATTCAGAGAAACACATCTATGTTATTATTATTTTTTCCCAGAATATTTTTTCCCAGCATATATTATGCTATTAATTTCCCAGCATATATCACCTGCAGAAGTAGTTGAGGAATGACATGGATGCCATACTGAGCTTAGAGGTGTCATCTCCAAACTTACAGGGTTTTGTGCCCGACAGCTGTAGTTTGAAATATCCTCCCTCTGGATCTCTATCTGCAAAGTGAGGATGGAGGTATTTGGGTTGCTGATGTTGCTGATAATGATGTCTCCATAGTACCAGGTCAGGTTTAGGTCAGGTCCATTCTTCACAGAACACTTTGCAGCACAAAACCTGCGGGCTGGTTGGGGCACCTTGATGATGTTGGGCGTAGAGACAGGATCTACAGAGAAAGATGATTTTCAGCTGTAATTTGAGAGTTATAGTGAATATCTATGAGTGACTAAACATCTGATACCACAATGTGCAGAAAAGAGAAGGAGCATAAGGTTCAGACAAATAATTAGATGAAAGTAGAGATTAAGAAGCCATTTTAGAATATATATATTCATGAAATATAAGAAATTATTAACATTTATTCCCAGCTGGGGAAATGGATAAAAAACTGGTATCCTTGTTCCTCAGGAAGAAAACACATTGATGTTCTGGAAAGAAATGTCTTAATTTTGCTTCTTTTGGTTTGTTTCTTTCTTTGCCATATAAACTAAAAAACTGCTAAACTGTTAGTAAAAATGAAAACAGAAGAAATCTGCAGTTGTGCAATATTGACATCAAGAAAATCAGTCATGAAATTATTGTTTCATTCATTTAATTTATAAAATCTATCATTTTTACAATAGTGTTGGTATTTCCTAGATTAGTGGTCTTAAACTCAAACCCATGAGGTCTGATGTCCTGCAACTTTTGAATGTG